GTGGTGGTATTTCATTTGTGCTTGCGCTTCCACCTATACTACACCTCAGATGCCGCCGCACAGAGCCAGACTGGAGTCAAACTCAACAGGGTCTTCTTTCCCCGCTTAGCCCTTCAAGTCCGTTCCCCCTGACTGTCGTTTCGCTAGACAGTAACTCGGGACAGAGGGAATCTCATTAATCCATTCATGCGCGTCTCTAATTGGAAGACGAGGCATTTGGCTACCTTAAGAGAGTCATAGTTACTCCAGTCGCTCACACACATGTCGATAGATACCACCACGCCGCCATTCAATGCACCCCACAGAGGCCGCAGTGGAGTGGTCCAGCAACACAACGGTGTCCTTCCCACTCACAGTGCACACACACCCACAATGACAGTCTCACATGCTCATATCAGAGAGGCACTGCCGCATTCCCTAAAATGTACACGGAGTCACACACCTACAGAGAGGAAAAGAAAAACACAAGAAAAGAAAAACAGCAACAACAGGATACCAACAGCACACAAAGCACTCACAATACAATAATCACAGCTGACACTCTCATCAGAGAAAAACATTCACCCACACCAGCACATCAACTCAACCCCAAGAAGAAAAAAGATCCACCACGTGAAGCCGAAGCGGAACAGTCTCAGTCCATCTCCCCGCAGGCTGCAGTCACTCAAGCAAGCCACACACCACAAGGGCACAAATATGTTCGTGGCAATGCCGTGAGTGACACCACCGAGAGAGAAGATGAGAACAAAGAAATGTGTTTTCATTACGTGGGCGGTGTGAGTAGCAACCCCAACACACAAAGGAACACACAACAGAGGGGCACACTCAAACACCTACAACCCATCGATCTTTATACCAAAATAAAAATGTAAAAAAAGAGTGACTGCATGAGGCAGACACAATAATAGAGCAAAGATGTAAAAGCAAAAGAAATTCATTACTTACTGTGGTTGCAATGCCTGGACACAATCCAATCCACCCCAAGGTTAACAACGGAAAATCATTGTGCACTGAACGTGTTGTGCCCATATCTTTACTCTTGATGTCCCTGCAGCAGTTTGTATATAATGAAAAAAAGACATCATTCCATAAAAATGAACACACAAGATACACAAGGTGTATCGGAAACGCAAAAGAGAAACACACAGATGCACATGACGTGCAATGAAATTATAATGGAACACACACATGGGAAAAACAATAAAATGAAAACAAAACATAAAGAGAGCCGTGATCACCATGTGAATATGTTCAGGAGGCAAGAACACAATTCCCAGCAGTAGGTGTGTGTGTGTCTTTCGTACATGGCGAGCAATGGGAATGATGCACACATGATGACAGTCCACACACACACAAGGAGAAGGAGGGTTGGTAGTGTGCGTGTTTGTGTGTCTTGAACCTCCTCCCATTCTTCACATTTCAGTCACAGCAATTAAAACACATCGGGCTTGTATCCCATTCCCATGGGTAAAACCAATAGTTAGTAATATCACGGAACAGACAAACATCACCAGGCGGACACAGTAAATGGCGGCACAACAGAGCCCAGGTAATAATGCCAACAAAGAAAGAAAGAAAACACTCCCCTCACAAAACGATGGTTTCGTCTTCTGATGAGTGCCATAGGGAGTCCAATAGAAGTGTTCAGTAAAAAATGCAAACAAAAGATTTATCGAACTGAAAGATAGGCTGATATCCAACCAAAAAGAACAGTACCCTTACAATGCGACCATGTCCACTCAAACAAAGGTTAACTGTGCATCTGTGTCATGGGATCACCGCTTAGCACACGAGAGTGCAGCCCAACACACACAACAGAAGCAGCAATAAGGGACTGTGCACCAATGCAGGACCGCTGCTGCCGTCACTCTCCTGTATTGCTTTAACGGCCTTTACCGCTTCTATTTCAGTAACATTGGCCTCTTCCTTGATCTTTACACCCTGCCGTAGTGCGTCCTCCTTGCGGATCTCTTCTTTCTGCTCCTCTTTGGCCGTTACACCCACCACTTCTTCCATTCCGGCACTTTCACTATCCACCTGTTTTTCTTCTTTTTTCTGCACACCCTGCACGTTCGCATCAACTTCTTGCGTCACCTCCATCCCTGTTGACGGCTGTTCTTCAACTCCAGTCCCCTCTTGATCCCTTATTTCATTCTCTTTTTCTTCAACCTGCGCCTCCTGTAAACGACGCCGGATTTCTCCTTCTTCTTTTTGTTTTGCTTCCTCCAGTTCACTAATAACGGTGGCGTTTACCTCTGTTACCCTTCTCCCATAGTCTTCACCCATGGCCTCATCTACAAGATTTTCGAGCGTATTGTCTTTTTTCAAAATCCACTTGAGGCCTTGCATTGCTTTTTCTGCTTCTTTCACGGATTTTCTGACATCCTCTAGTAGCAGGAGTCCACCCTCTGAGGACTTGAGGTCTTTTACGAGATCAATTAACCTTTCGCTTACTATTCTGCTGCCCCGTCTGAGTTCTATTATTTCCGGTGTTTCTTCTTTTATTTCTCGCAAAAAACGTTTTCGAGCTTTGTCAAATCTATACCCATCACCATCCGACACCATAGATTGTTTCCCGCAATTATCACTCAAAAGAGATATGTCTAAGAGCAATGACGTCACTTCCTTAAAGTCATTTATGTATTGTTGAACATCAGCCCTTCTTTCCCCTATCCACGCACCAGTTGGGTCCCGCCCTTCTACCGTGTCTTCTAATTTCATGAACGCCGTAACAAGAGCAATGATATTCTTCGCAACAGCCCCAGCACGCATTGAATTATTCTCGGTTAATTGCCTTTTACCCTTTAACACAGAGAGACAACCTCTCGTTTGCAGAAAGTGCTTATACACCTCGACCACCGTCTTCCTAAACCGTTCAACCTCTGCCGCATCTTTTCTTGACCTCGAGGTGGATACCCCCTGCATGCCACTTGCATTCTCCGCACATGCCACACACGCAAAGCACTGCAGAAGTACCAACAGGTACACCACACGGCGCAGTTGGACGAACATCGTTGTCATGATTGTCACTGTGGATAGCTTGGGTCTGTGGTGACAAAAAAAGAGAAGAAAAGGAGAAAAGAGACCCACACTTAACACATTGAGAAACAACAGCAACGCAGAGGGAAATATAAAGAGAGTACACAAAACAACGTCAATCAAACCACTCACACAAAACAAAGCCACGCGACGCAGGCAATCAATCTTACCACTTCACAAAAAAAACAAACACGACCCGAGTTCCGCGCGGATGTCAAAACAACACCTCCAATTACGAAAAAAAAAAAACACAAAAACAATGAAGAGAAACAGCACCATGGGAATTTACCTACAGATCCCAGTTATTCCACTTGGCAATAATATACAACGTGTTCTCTGACTATCTTTCACCGATAGCGCAACCTCATTGCTCGAATGGGTGGCATCCCCCAAAAAACTGGTACATGACCACTGAGGAGAAACCAGCGAACACAGGACACCATCTCACGAGACAGTACTCAAGGAGCACTCCCATATGAACGTTAAATGTAACACGGCGACCCATCAGCCATCACAACATCCACACGTCAAATTCCCTGTAGTTGCATCACGGGCGCGCGCAACATCGGCACCCCTCACTGCAAAGAACTGGACGGACGGTTGTCACCATCCCCCATTAGCTCATGAACACATCACAATGATGTGTGTCTATTGTGCGCACACATTCATTACACACGCCTGTCTCCCGCTCCTCTCTTTGTGTGTATTGGATCCGTGGCGCATATCAAAAAACACACGAGTGACCCAATCGGAAATAGAACCTCCAAACACCACGAGATCACAGACACCATCAGGTGAGCAACCGCAGGCCAAATGAAGTCGGGCGGCACCACCTGAAATCGCACCTCACTTTCATAATGCCGGAGATTGGGAACAATCACCATTGCATGGGATGTGAAAACACACTCGCGATGGGAAAAGAAAGATGTACATCATCAATAGCATTCGGAATGAACACGCGACCCTGGGGGACAAGACCTGACGAGAAGTTCACCTAGACGCCATGAACAATGTCCACGCAATCAGGCACTAGAACATACAAAACCAAAGAACAACGTTTTCACGAACACATAACCGGAGAAACGTTTACAGCATACCCAAAACACATGTGCACACAATTCCTGTCACCCATTCCACACGAAATAATCCCCTCAATGTTCATAAGAAAGGTACGATCCAACATATCTCCTTCCACCCCCCCTTACCTGGGTCAGCCCACCCCATGGGAGGCAGAGGCCCACAGCCAGAGCGCAACGCGCGGTGCCGCAAACAAAAGCGCAACCACCACCAGCACATGTAGAAAACACAAATCGCGACGGCAAAAACCAGATGGCGCGCCTGGCTCCCCCAGAAAAAATACAAGGGTGGGGGTCCGACCCCGCCACACGGACAAGTCCGGGACGGCCCGGGACACCACCCAACCCCACCAAGGCGGAGCAGCACAACGACACAGAGGCTACGAACGACCAAAAGAAGAATAACAACCAATAGAACACCAAAATAGCAGAGGCGCAACTATTGTAGAGGCCGCCTGCTTCGACCAGAAAACCCCCACCCCACCCCGGCACCACCAGCCGGCCAAAGTTGTGACAGACGGCGGCGGCGGCGACGCCAGGCCGGCACAACCCAAAACACCGGAACAACCC